GTCGCATACTGTGCTGTGAACCGTCTGATCAGGGTGCCGAAGCTGTCAATTAACTCGGTAGGTAGCTGGGTGTACCAGTTGAGCGCGGCCCCTTTGAGCGAGGTCAGAAAAACTCTACACAGGATAGCATCCTCATTAGTGTAAAGATTTACCTGTGTGGTGTACAGATCGATGTGCTCGTCCGGATCCGTGGTGTCGTCGTAACGGTCGATGTGGAGAGGCTTCCACCCGAAAGGGAGAGGTGTTTCCATGATGTCGTCCACAAAAGGATGACGGCGAAAGGTTGCCTGATTTCCCGTGATGTGGGCAGGAGCGTTGCTTACGTCATGTGCTGACCTTTTGGTCGGTATGTGAGACCGATGTGTGGCAGGCCTGGGGGTTGGTGCCCTAGCCGCGGGCCCAAAGCAACCCTAATTCACACTAAGGTACGTGCATTACTTATACGAGACTCATACTCCCACAAACACTAACTTTAGCATCGGAGTCTCTTTTGCAGGTACCACCCCCATCTTGAAGCACCAGCGTACCAGTGAAGGAGGCTCACCGATTTTACCTGGCGGATCATCTCTACAGCAGATTTCAAGTAAAAACATTTGGCGCCCACCGTGGGGCCGATCAAGACAGCTCTTATTGGCGACGCTTATGGTTTTCACCAAAAGCCATAGCAGACGCGCAACAGACGACCTAGATCACACCACTAACATGGATAACGAAGCAACATTGAGGCTTTCCTTGTGGTTTGTCGCGAATTGCCTTGCGGAACTCATCTGGATGTACCCAGCAGCGCGAGCTCGAAGCTCGTCCATGTTGGGAGGAGGTCGTTGGCAAAGGCTATCAACGAAAGGTCCTGGCTTCAACGCCATGAGCATGGAGTGTAGTGCAACTTCGAGATTCAGATTTTGGATCTTTACCGAGATGGCAGCGAATCGTTCCATGAATGTCTGGAGTGGCTCGTCGTCACTCTGTCTGAGACTGGCCAGGGCAGCTGATGTTATGTGATGAGGTCGGCTCGTCGCATACTGTGCTGTGAACCGTCTGATCAGGGTGCCGAAGCTATCAATTAACTCGGTAGGTAGCTGGGTGTACCAGTTGAGCGCGGCCCCTTTGAGCGAGGTCAGAAAAACTCTACACAGGATAGCATCCTCATTAGTGTAAAGATTTACCTGTGTGGTGTACAGATCGATGTGCTCGTCCGGATCCGTGGTGTCGTCGTAACGGTCGATGTGGAGAGGCTTCCGCGCGAAAGGGAGAGGTGTTTCCATGATGTCGTCCACAAAAGGATGACGGCGAAAGGTTGCCTGATTTCCCGTGATGTGGGCAGGAGCGTTGCTTACGTCATGTGCTGACCTTTTGGTCGGTATGTGAGACCGATGTGTGGCAGGCCTGGGGGTTGGTGCCCTAGCCGCTGTTTGTGAGACCGATGTGTGGGAGGCCTGGGGGTTGGTGCCCTAGCCGCTGTTGGCGGTTGAGAAACCGAGTGCCCTTCCTCCTCATGCAGATTGCTTTGTTGAGGGGGTTGATCAGAGGGACGCCGAGGGAGTTGAGCGCGAATACGCTCGTTCTCGGCGCGTAGCGCCGCTAGGTCAACCTCATTAGCGGTACGCATCGTGGCTAGGTCAGTTTCGTGCTTGGCATGCATAGTTTGTAGACCTGCGGCATGTTGCTGCCGCATCTGCTCGACCTGCTTGATCAGTCATCTCAATGTTGCTTCGTTATCCATGTTAGTGGTGTGATCTAGGTCGTCTGTTGCGCGTCTGCTATGGCTTTTGGTGAAAACCATAAGCGTGGCCAATAAGAGCTGTCTTGATCGGCCCCACGGTGGGCGCCAAATGTTTTTACTTGAAATCTGCTGTAGAGATGATCCGCCAGGTAAAATCGGTGAGCCTCCTTCACTGGTACGCTGGTGCTTCAAGATGGGGGTGGTACCTGCAAAAGAGACTCCGATGCTAAAGTTAGTGTTTGTGGGAGTATGAGTCTCGTATAAGTAATGCACGTACCTTAGTGTGAATTAGGGTTGCTTTGGGCCCGGGGCCTGAGATAAGATATGATAAGATTAGATAATGGGTCTCGTCTGGAGCGAGATCCCTTGAGATCAGTTATGATCTACTTAAATGTCGAGCTGACGTCGCGTAACGCGTGCTCGAGGTCATCTTGCGCGGTGATGCCGAGCTCGGAGCTCGGTTTCACAGTACGGATAGTACATAAACAAATTGTTTTTTCTTGTAATCTTTTATGCATTAAAAATCTTTTCACATTCATTACTTTGTTTCTTATGCGGAATCGATGATGTGGCATGAATATGTCATCTTATGTTGTTATTGTGACATATAAAGACAATTAAAGCGGACCATGGGTTTAAGAGGAGCGATTACTCTCCACTAAAGTTAACGAGATTTTACTTTATAAAAAAGATTAAACACTTATTCATATATAATATTTTTTATCAATATTTGTTTAATTAATTCTAAGAGAGGAAAAAAATATAATTTAAATATGTTTCAATTTCAATCCTTGATGTTATTTTGAAAATTCTTAAAAAAAAACTGTAAATTTTTTATAAGATTTTTATAATATCTTATTTTAAGAAATTTTTTAATAGATGTCTGTCACATTATAAATAAATAGTGTTAGAAACTAAAATTAAAAAAAAAAATTTATAGAGACTAAATTAACATTTTTTTAAGAAAACTAAAATCATAAAAATGTATATATTAAAATAACTAAAAACATATTTAAATAAATATATAATATAAAATATGTTATTATTAATACAAATAAATATTTAATTATTATTATATATTTATATATCAAAAGAGAAAGAAAAAATATTTATCTATTAGTTCACTCGATCCTCCATAAATTGTGAGGCCCCAGCCTAATGTAATCACATTAATTTATTTTAAGGGAATGCTAATGTACTCCTACCTATATTTTAGTGGGAGCATGTTAGTTTTAGACCAAAATTTTAAGACAAAAAAACCACTCATTTCGATTTGGTTAATTCGTATAAAGGATATTATAGTAATTTAATTTAATTTTAAATAAAAATAAAATATTTTCTCTCTTTTATTAATTTCATTCTCTAATTCATTTCTCTCTTATTAAATTTCTTCTCCAACTCATTTCTCTTTCTTATTAAATTCTTTCTTTAACTCATTTCTCTCTCATCTCTCATGATTTCTCTCTCATTTCTCTAACTTATTTATCTCTTTCTCTAATTCATTTATCTTTTCTATTAATTAATTTTTATTTGTTCAGAGAGAGAGGGGGGAGACATCATGAGAGAAATGAGTTAAAGAAAGAATTTAATAGGAGAGAGATAAATAAGTTAGAGAAAGAATTTAATAAGAAATAGAAATGAGTTGGAGAAGAAATTTAATAAGAGAGAGAAATGACTTAGAGAATGAAATTAATAAGAGAGAGAAAATATTTATTTTCATTTAAAATTAAATTAAATTACTATAATATCTTTTATACAAATTAACCAAATCAAAAGAAATGAGTGATTTTCTTGTCCTAAAATTTTGATTTAGGTTACTGACATACTCCCACTAAAAAATAAGTGGAAGTACATTAGCATTCCCCTTTATTTTATTGGAATTTGATGATATAAAAAAGAAAAGTTATAATTTATAAATATGATTTTAAAAAAAGAATTACAAGAGAGAGAAAAACTAACTAGTATAGACGACAAGATATTATATTTAAACAACTCTCTTTATATATAATTTCATTGGAGTAATAAACACTAATCTTTGATTAACATCCACTTTTGTTATGTAAATGACTCAAATAGTCAACAATACTTTAATTTTGATAGAAGGAAAAAAAAAACAGTTAAATGAATAATTGCATTTATATGTTTTTAGCTGAAGAAAGTGAGAATGAGTTTGGTTGTTAAAGAGTTGAAGGGGAGGGAGGCTAGATATGAGTGTGAGGCGGCAATGGCGGCCTCGGTAACCTAAAAAGTAGGCTAATTGAATGTAAGGAAGCTAGCTGTTAGTATCCACTTCCAACTACTCAGACGCCTCCTCACAACCACTAAATACAACTATCTTTTACTTAATTTTACCATTTCCTTTATCACACTAGACATTTTTACCAATGCTTTCTCCACCAAATCACTATCTTATCATCCTTACCTTTTAATTTCTTTTATTTAATAAAAAACTATAACTTCCTTCTACTAGACCGACTTATATAAAGATAAAATAGTATTTTAAGTCATCAACTTATATTCAAATTAAAATTAATGATTTTCAATATTTTTCAATTTCATTGATTGGATATAAGGATGGAAATATTAGAGATCTTAAACAGAATATATGACTTGATTTCTTTAAAGTTTGACTTGGCTTGATTTATTTAATAAAAAATTAGGTTTTAAAAAAATATTTTAAAAAATTGAATTTAGGTTTATTAAAAGTTTGTTAAGTTTGATATAGACTAATTTATTTATCTGTATAATTTAACAAATAATTAATTAATATATATATATATATATATATATATTATTTGAATAAGATTACTCTCTTTTATTATAAATTGTATGCTAGTGTAAATGAGTTGTCCCTTTAACAAAATTAATTTCATTTATTCTTCTTTTGTGTCATTATATATGTAATTAGCACTTCTAAGATCACTTCATGTATAATTATTATTTTAGTTTGTAAATTATTTTTATAATTATTTTAGTTTGTTAAAATATGAGTAAGTTATTTAGAATATACTAAATTAGATATATAAAATATTTTAAAAAAAAAATTATTATATAATTATCCTTTTTCATTATTGACTTATAAGTTTACGATTACTACTTGTGGGTGAATGTATCCCAACATAGATGGCTGGGCATTAATTGTCTCTTTAATAACAAATAATTTACTCTTTTTTTCATTGTGACATTTATATATTTTAAAATTTAAATTTTAATAATATTGAGTAACTTATATTTTATCATCTAAATTAAAAAATAACTCACATAGTTATGTATTTAAAATTAAATTTATTATTTTTGAAAAAATTAAGTTTATTGGCCTAATTAACATTATTAATATAAAAGGATATGCCAGACATTAAAAAAATCATACCTATAAAAAAAGGATCTATGTAGATAATAAGTTAAACTTAAACTTTAATTTTATAAAATAGATCTAATTTATATATTCAAAGTTTGATCTGACCTGACCTATTCTCATATTCCTAATTGGATATTACCTTTATGCTTATGGGAGTGTTTGGCATATGAAAAATTTTTAGTTTCTAAAAAATCTGATATCCACAATGTTAGATTTTCATGTTTGACTTGTTTATTAAAAAATAATATTATTATAAA